GTGCTGTGTGTATTTATGTCAACGTCGTTGTTGATGTTGACTCTTCTGCATGTACCTGTAGATGGCCATCCACATACGGCAATGCGCGAAATGAAGGTGAAACGATGGCAAGGTCCATGCAAATTGTACAGCAAACTTTACGGTGTGTCCACTATTGTTGTGTTGGATGGGTTTCGATATATATTATATGATGAACGAGAACGCTGTAGACTATGAATGATCTAAAACGACTTGGGTGTGCAGTGGCGCTGGATCAGTTGTCAGGCCTGCTATGCGAAGCTGAAGGTAGTGCCCGATTCGGGACTTCAACGCGCCGTCCCGATGTAACTTTTGCAGCACCTTTAGGACGGCGCTTGAGCCAGTCGAACGACAGCCTTGTTCGCGAAGAAAGGCCAACAGCGCCGACTCAGCCGCGGAGCCGATCGAGACAACGTCGTCGAGGTACGTTGAACTCCCTTCTTCCATTACGAATCCCTTCGGCAAGAAAAGCCTCATATACGCAACTAGGTGCCGCGCATTGTATCGCTTCTGCTTTGAAGCGTCAGCATTTGCGTAGAGCCTTGGTTCGCCACCATACCATTCGAACCACGTTGTTCGTAACGCCGTGGCAGACGCCTGTCGTTGCCGCTTCACGGTAGGCTCGCCATTGCCGTTCTCGAGAACTTGCGGCTTCTTAACCGCATGGCCATCCACCTTTGCCTCTAGACCTTGGAGCCGCTCCTCTTGACGCCGTCCAGCTTGCATGAATTGGTCAAGGAGGGTGGCTTGGTGGCGAATGAGTCTTTGCTCGGCAGTCTCAGGTATGGGTCTCGCGTTTTGTTCAAGTGGCTCTAATGCTGTCGGCGTCGGCGGTCCTGCCATCAGATGTGCGGACCAAGCCAGAAGATCCATCTCGCTGCAGCCAGCAAGTCCAGCGCATGCCGAAGAACAGGAAGGGCCTGCGCGTTGAGCTTCTTCAAACTCGGGTAGTTGAGCAGAAGGTAAGCTGTCAACGTATCGATAACGGGCGTGTTCAAGTTGCACGTAGAGATTGCAAGGCCTCGGGAAGCAACGACCAGATTGGCTTGAACTTTGCGAACCATGCCTTGCGTGTGGGCGTCGAATGAGTCGAGGGTAAGAACCATTACAGGCTCCATTGTGCTCCAACCGCTGAGGTACTTGGCGACTTTGTGGTCTTCACTTGACGTGTCGAAAATGTAGTTAAAACCATTGTTGGTGGCCGAGATGTTTCACGCCCCGCGATCGAAGGTCCACCGTGCCGTTAATTGCTCCGATCCGTTCGCGTGTTGTGCACCCCCGCGTCGAAACGAGTGAGACGATAACCTTTGGTCCACACCCACCGCCGCCGAAATACGTCCAAGGATACGATTGACATGACTGTGTATGGTACGTACGCTCTTCGAACCTTGGGCCTTATCGTCAAAGTAGATTGCACTTGGGTTGTCCAAGACGTCCAGCAATGGTGTGGTTAGTCCGAGCTCATGTTTGACTGAGCTTGCTTGACTAGGCAGGTTGTCGACGATGTTTGGCACAAGCTCCGTTCTGCGCAACGGTCGCCAGCGCGATTGCAAGCAAGGGACAAGTCGCGAAATCAGTGTCCGGGTACAGGGATAATCCTTGTTCCTCGCTGGTCTTGACTCGAACAAATCGTAGGAAGAACACCCCACCAGCATCAATCGACACGTTGTGCTTGCGGACCATGGCCAAGTCAGACGCGCGGCCAAAAAGATACCACAAGAGGGACAACAAAGCGGCGGGTTGGTCACTGCTGCAAGTGGCGGTCGAGAACAAATACATCAGCATACGCTTCAAGTACTGTTTGGTGCAGGCTATAGCTTGGTTCACAACCGCTCCGCCATCCTTCTTCGCGCAGTAGTTTTGCAAGATCTTGCCAGGACGTAGTAGTTTTGAGTTCACGAGGGCCTGCAGTTGCGGAAACTCGTCGAGAAGCGTCATCTTCGCTTGTCGAAAGTACTGCATGCAGGAGTTCTTGGACAACTGTATTCCAGGTGATTTCTCGCACGCAGCGAGTTACAAAGCAAACTTCTCCATTACAGCGGCAAAGCATTGCCCTGTTAGGTCCTTCCGTATGCACGATTTGACGTAGTCCGGATCCACGCTCTCGGATGACAGGAACTTGTAAAACGCTTTGATGGCGGCCGCTCTCCCATTCACGGTTGACTGAGGCCGCAAGCGGTCCATCCTTGTCTCACTTGGTCAGACGGTCGGACGTTGCAGGGCTATTTTTATGTTATGCGATTCACTTGCCTTGGCTATGCTTATAACGCATAACTTTCAAAAGGTCCGACCACACGCGCATAGCGGACCACCACCAAAGCTCTACCCTAATCCTTTCATATGCTATTGGGCAGAAAATTATTCGTTGCAACATTATTGGCTAACCAGTCGCAAACATTATTTTGATTGGCTAAAATTACCAATACAATTATCAAGAGTGGTCGGACCTTTCGCATTATTCAACCATAATGCATACCCTATCCACATAATTTGTATGCATCAAGGTATACACAGTTTAAGGTTAAAATGGTGATCATAAATTGGTCCTCAAAAATAGAGTAAACTTGCTTGGAAAGTGGGCTTTTTGTATTAACAGGCAGGCCAGCGGAGAATGTACAAATTTTGGTCATACTATGATTTTCAAACTTCGTCCACAGAGCTCAGTAAGCCACAGAGATTTCGGAATGTGTCCTTGACTATTCGGCCATCTTCACATGCCATTTGCACGCTTTCGGAGGCCGGAACAACCGCGAAAACTTGCATGGCGCATGGGCCCTCGATGGATTTAACGACCGTCCCTGCGCGTGTCATTGGACACATTTTGGTTCTTTCTTCTAATGGAATGCCAGTAAAAATGTCAGTAACGTTTTTGCATACTTGTAGAACTCAAAATGGATTAGTCATATATTCTTAGATAATCAATTATCCTATATATTGTTAATTACCACTCTGGCCTTTTCCGGTCGAAAGGCTGTTCCCATAGTAGCTCAAATCTGATTTTCATCAGT